TAACTGTAAAACAGTCTCCAAGATAATCATAGATTTTGCTATTTTTCTTTCTTCATTTACCGGAAAGAACAACTGCTGACATGTGAGTGTGCTCAAAGTTTTACTCTATAAGATACCTAGTGTGAGCAGTTAATCCACAGAGAGAAAAAATAGGCTACGTTAGCACATTAATAATTTCACGGGTATTATATAGGTCAAGGAGTACTTAAGTCAAATAAGAGGAAAACCAGTAGAAAAATAGAGAATCTGCTAGAAGTCAAAAGGCCAACTACTATTAGGTGTGGCATGGGGAATATAATAGTAGAAAAAAGAGGCAGGAAAGGTTAGGGAAGATCTTTTTTCCATTATTTAATAATTTCAATAATTTAATATCCATTTATTATTCTTTAACTATCATCTAGATGATTTATCTGGATAGCTTCTTAGGAATCTAGTTACCAGGTGAGTTTTATAGGGTTTAACTATATTCTACATTAGGAAAAATATAAACTGCAATAAAAAAGATTTAAAAACAGAGCAAAGGATACGTTTCCTAACAGTGGTTGCCTTTTGGTCTTTTTAGTACAAGTGTCACTAACTATTCTTGAAGATAAATGTGAAATGTTTATTGCATATTTAATAAAAGATAATGTTATTCTTTTGGAAAAGGGTGATGATATGTGAATGTGCATCCATCAGAATAATTATTTCCTTGTTCTAGTCATAGAAACTTTAGAGCAGAATCATTAGGCCCAAGAAAATTGTCTGAAATCAGTCCTTTCAACAAGGTTTTAACAGTAAAAGTATACCAAATCTGACATTTATTTTCTCTATTCTCTATCTTTACCTTCTGAAAATATAGATAGGCAAGTATTTTCTGTGTGTTTTAAACACAAGAATGAATTATATGGAATTACACAATTACATGACAACTTTTCAAAACTCTAATGTTTTAAATATAATCTGACTAGGAATAAACATAAAAAGATTCTATTAGACAATTTCTGTCCTTGATGCCAGGTTCTTCAGCCATACACTATCCTGAGAAACCGACTTTCTTTCATATAACATACTGGGCCCTTACTGTCAAGTTCTATATACTCCAGGTAATCAAACCACACCTAGAAAACCTGCACCACTATATAACCCAGGAGATCTCAGGCTTGTCTACTTGCAGGAGTCATGTCAAACATGTCAGGTCATGTCTGGTTAATCCAAAGACCCACTATAACAACCTCCTCCCTTCCCCCAAGTATTCCAAAGGGTTTAGTACTAGCATTACAAAATAGAGAACCTGCTCAATATAAAGCAGAAAGTATAAAATTCCTAAGTTCACCTCAACTCTGTTCCTGGCTCTACTAATGTGAGTTCACTCTTTAAATTTCAGCTTCTCCATACACATGATTAATGTAAGAGGTTATCAGTTTTCTAAGGATGTTCAACAATTAAAAATACATCCACAAAATTATTTAGCTCTTTGAAAAAATGAGATATAAAATATACATGAAAACAACACACCTTTTATTAATCACATAGCAAATGCTGTCTTATTATCTTACTGGAGAGGGAGTTTTTCTTAAGTAGCATCAAGAATGCAGAGCTATGCAAATGAACTGGTATCTAATAAATACTTGCTTTAATGAATAAAACTCAAATATCCTTGCATTAGGTAAATAAAATTTGCTGTGTTATTCTTCTCTGTTTAACCAGTGTGGCTTCGGGGCGCCTGGGTGGCTCAGTTAGGCATCTGACTTCAGCGCAGGTCATGATCTCACTGTGATTTCAAGCCCCACATCAGGCTCTTGCTGACAGCTCAGAGCCTGGAGCCTGCTTTGGATTCTGTGTCTCCCTCTTTCTCTGCCTCTTGCCCACTCACACTCACACTCTCTCTCTGTCTCTCTCTCTCTCTCAAAAAACAAATAAACATTTAAAAAAATTTTTTAATAAAAAATTAAAAAATAATAAAATAGTGTGGCTTCACACACACTTAGGCCTTTATGAAAATTCAATATCAAAGCTGAATATGCCAAAAGAATAAAATACAAAATAAACAGTCATTATATAAACCACATGTATACACTACTTTATTAAAATAGGATTTAATTTGCCCTTTATTATTTCAAAGCATCAAATGTTTAATCAGCACCACTACAATCTGAAATAGCCCACTTCACCTGCAGGCACAAAGTGGCTTTCGGCATATTTAAGAAGCTAAGTCAAGCTGCTAAGGGAATAGTACTGCATCACATTACTAGCCCTTTGATGGCTTACCAGAGTTAGGAAACCTTTGATGACTGATTTAATGACAATTCATTTCTTGCCTTTTATTTTTTTATTTTTTTAAGTAGGCCTCACGCCCGGCACAGAGCCCAGTGTGGGCTTTAACTCACAACCCCAAGAGCAAGACTTGAACCAACCAGCAGACCCAAAGTGTTTTATTTGTTCATATAAACAGTATTTTGACACACTGGGAAAGAGGGAGAATGAAATTCTCTTATTCTATATTGTCAAAGACAGCTGAGAGATAAATAGGTTTCAAATGTGAATTACTGGATTAAGACTAAGATACAAAAGGTTTCAATATTCTAAAGGTAAAATATGAAACAGAAGAGAACTCCGACAATATAAACTTAGCTTTAATTCATTTTTAAAGGAAAATGAATAATTTAATTTGTTTCAGTTTGAACTAGTTTTGGCATATAACTCCTCTGTTGCAGAACTCAAACTGAAAAGTTACCAAAGCCCATTCCAATGCCTTTTAAAAACTAAAGGAGAAATAAAGCAAAAGAACTTTGAATAGAAATGTTATCGGTAGGGGCGCCTGGGTGGCTTAGTCGGTTAAGCGTCCGACTTTCGCTTAGGTCATGATCTCGCGGTTCGTGGGTTCGAGCCCCGCGTCAGGCTCTGTGCTGACTGCCAGCTCAGAGCCTGGAGCCTGTTTCAGTCTGTGACTCTCTCTCTCTCTGACACCCTCCCCTGCTCGCGATCTCTCTCTCCTAGAAATAAATAAAAATAAAAATAAAAAAAAATAATAAAAAAAAAAGAAATGTTATCGGTAGAATGAGAGTGAAGTATGTGGTCCATGGATTGCTGAAAATATTTATACTTAAAAAATATTTTATGAGGCTTTAAATATAATAGATGTAGGCATACGTGTGACACTCTAAGATAAATCCTAAGTATGAAACACAAAGTCTGAATTCTACTTGTCACTTATCCCTCACACTAAGCTGATTTCTCTTTAAATCTAATAGCCTGAGATCTTTTTTTTTCGTGCCTAGGTTTTCCTTGCCCTCTCCTCTTACCCTATCTCCCAATTCCCATCACTCAGTCAGTGCTAAATAAAATATCCCTGTATTTTCTGGCATTCTCTTCCTAAACACTATAATGAATCTACCTTTAAATATCTTCCTTCTATTCTAAAACATCTTTTGACCGTGATCGGTAAACTTCGGAAGACTCTACTGTAATCGGATACTGCAATAAAACAGTGCTTCTCTAGGAAGGGATGATGGTACTCTATCCTCACCAAGGATCCTTGGATGTTCCTAGGTGGTGGCACAAAATGAAGCAGTTAACAAAAAACTTCCCTCTACAAACGCATGCTATTCTTAGAACTCTCTTATTTTTTATGTAAAGTTTTTTTTAAGTAATCTCTACATCCAAGGGGGGGGGGGGTTGCGGCTCGAACTCAGAACCCTGAGATCAAGAGCTGCAATGTTCCACGGTCTGACCAGCCAGGTGTCCCCTTCCTAGAATTCTCTTAACCTCCACTGTCCTTACAACCCAAAACCATGAATGCCTGCCTTTTTCCTTAAATCCAAAGGAAACAGTTTTCAACAAAACAAATTCTAGAACGGTTTCTGCAGTTGACAATGGTAAGATATTACAGATGAACAGATTGCTCTTTTCCCCTTTCTAATCTACAATGTAAGTGAATACCTAATTGAGGTATGATAGAAAAATGTTCTTTGGTAGTTACAAGAAACAAAATCTCAGCGAACCAGAGGCAGAGATCAAAGGAGGGATTTTCAAAATGTTTTAAGCCATCTTCTAACTTCAGTTCTTCCATAAAAATTTTTTTTTAGCAATTTGCATAGATTTGGATTGCTTTAATCTTTTGAGACTCGGTTTGTTCATCTATAAGATGTTGATACTAACAGTACCTTCAATTTACAGGGTAATTGTGAGGATTAAACAGGTAACACATACACAGCTGATAGTACAGTGCCTGGTGCACAGAGCCACTTAAAAACGTTAAAAAGAAATCTCAAGTATATGGCATTTTTGCTTTTATTGAGAACTATAAACCTTAAAAAAAACCTTATAAACTTTGTTTCAAGTTTTATTATCAATTGATCTACATAAGTTTTCCTGTTCATTTATTTAACACTTCAACTTAGAAACTTAGAGGCAACCTTGTTACACTGATTTAGTAAAATCAAACAGGGCACAAGCTTCATGTAAAATAGCACTTGAAAGAAACGCACTAGGAATTCATGATATCGATAAAATAACTGCCATGAAACTTCCAACAAAATGCCAATTCAGCTATAATCAGATGCAGCTGTTCCTTTCAAAATTAAGTCACCATTTGTTCTTTTTTTCTGACACTACAGTACCTTGCTTTCATGAAAAGCCTCTAACAAGGCACAGCTTCTCCGACACCAAAACCTTTTGGAAACCTGGCTCCGGGGACGCCACACACTGTTTACAGCGCTATAAAAGACCCGTGTGTTCGCTCTAGAACAACTGTCACGAACACGTCCGGCTGTCTCAGGGACTTGGGTCATGCAGAAGTGTCGGGGAGGGCTGGCGTCTGAAACAAAGTCCACGGCGAGGGCGGCGGAAAGGGGAGAGGTTTCGCTGAGCACAGGATGAGGGTCCGACTGCGGGGAAGCCGGCTGTCGGGCGGATCGATCCCGAGGGGGCACGGCCCGCTCCCGCGGCCGAGGGACGCAGGTGTTGCCCTCCCTCGGCGACCTCGCCGCCGCCGCTCCCTCCCCTCAGCCCCGAGTTACCTTTCTCGTCTTCATCGATGCGCAGGGCAACGGAGATGTACTCGAAGGCCTGCTTGTGGAAGGCTCGGACGCGCTCGGCCTCCCCGCCCGGCACTGGCGCCGGGGGCGAGGCCGCGGCCGGCGCCGGCGCGGCCCGGGAGCTCCTCTTGGCAGCCATGAGGGCGCGGGAGAAGCGCTGGCAGAGCCACACGAAGAGGAGCCCCAGGTGGAAGGCGACCAGACGCAGCAGCGCGAAGCCTACGAACAGCGGGTAGGAGAAGTAGTACAGGTTCCGCTTATGCGGCGACTCCGGCGGGGGGGCCGGCCTGGGGGCGGGACGGGCGGCGGTCAGGCAGGGGGGCGGAGGCCTGGGAGGCACCGGGCTGCTGCCGCCTCCGGAGCCTTTCTTCTTCCCTCGTCCACCCGGAGAATTCATTCACAGCTCCCACTGCCGCCGCCGCCATAACCCGCCTCCCGCAGACCGACGGCGACCAAGCGACGGCGGCGGCCACTGGGACGGCGAGGGCCACAGACGCCCGCGCGCCCGCCGGTCCCAGGAGCTCGGCACCTCCACGCGCGGCTCGCCGGCCCCGCCCCTTTCTCCGCGCTCGGCCAAGAGCACAACCCCTTTCCTCCTCCAGCGGTCGGTGGCTCCTGCCCCTCCCTCTCTGTGTCCTCTCAGCCTCCTGGTAGCTCGGAGCGGTGACCGCGCACGCGCACGCACGCCCATGCCTTTTTCCGGCGCGCGCGCGCGCACGCCGCCGTCTTTGTTGCCCGGTGCTCCTTGTGCGCGTGTGCACTTCTCGCCCCTTGGGCCCTTCCCAGCGGGACTACAGTTCCCAAGGTACAGTTCGGCTACGTTGCCTTCAGGGACCAGTCGCTCTACTGACAGCGCTGTCCCCCGCAGCTCCTTAGCGGGGAACCTTGGTCTTCAACTCTCGGTGGGTACAGCTTCTGCGGCTTGGGGTCGCTCTGCTAGTTTGCAAGGCTCCTATCTTGCATTGTCATCGTTTTCTTATATTTCTTTCAGCATTTTCTGCAGGTCTGACGCCGGGGATGGTTCACCTGTGTTGCATTTCAAAAGTAATGGGTACCGTGAAAACAATGTCAATGTCCATCTATAGGAAAATGGTCAAATGCATTTTGGAATACCCATATATAATTCTGTAGACCGTTTAAAAAAGAATGAGGCGGGCCGACATATACTGATAAAGGAAGTTGTCCATAAGGTATTAAGTGAAAATGGAAAATTACCGACCAGTGTGATATGATCCTACTTTGCATTAAAAAGAAAAAAAAGGTAATGGGTACCAATCTGAGAATTATTATATGAGAGGGAAGCAATTGTAGAGACGTATAAACTCAAGGTCACCGAAAACAAAAATGTTTGCTCGACGGAATGAAGTGAACGATTCTGAAGGTTTAATTAGTATGTGTTTAGATGTATATTTTGAAGAATGAATTAGTTTGAATAGGGACAGTCCTAGGTTTTGCACAGGAATCATCCCACAGTTTACTGAGGAATCCAGACTGGGTTTTTTTTTTTTTTTTTTTTTTTTTTAATCTACTGGATGTCCCTTCCTTTGAGGAACTGTCTACCCATTTCTGCTGCCTGTATTCCAATGAGCTGCAAGCACTGAACCCAGTCTCCCAGATCACAGAAGTGGAAACATGAGGTTAGTATACTCTCCTAGAAACCAGAATCTGGATGGACACACTGGGAAAAAAGGTAGTAGGGATTGAGTGCTGTAAAGAGCTAATCTATCAGTTCATCTCTTTGAGATCCCAGAGCTGCCAAGTTCCTGGATTAGTCACTTGATAGTGTAACCTATCCAATAAACTATTCAGTCTATCGCTCTTTCTCTGTTTCTTCCTCTCCCTTTCTCCATCTATCTTTCTTTTTTTCTCTCTCCTTTTCTTTTTACTTGGGTTAGCCATAGTTGTTTCTTGTTGCCTAAAATTAAGGAATCCTAACTGATAAGGTCCCCACCCATTGTTGACAGAGTGAGGTTTATAAATGCTTCATGCCAGCTTCCAAGAATCTCCATATTCTGACCACAGTTTTGTCTAATTTTCTCCCACCTACTTCCCTATAAACATAGGTTATTGCAAAATTGACTTACCCCGTTTCTCTCCAACTGCTCCCCACCCCTTTTCCTGCCTCTGTGCTTCTGCCAATTCCTCATTCTGAAATATTTTCTCTTTCACATCTGGTTAATTTCAATTCCTGACTTTTCTCTTTTGAACCCCATAGTACTCTTGTTGTTATGTGAAGTCCATTATATTTATACATGTATCGTGTAAACAAGATGTATATAACTTATATGTACAAAGAAAAATAATAAAACAAACAGCATCTAGTTTAAGAAAAACTACTGTGACCAGTTCCTTGAAGCACTTTGTGAGCCCCTCCCTAATCTCAATCTCATTCCCCCCCCTCAAGGAAGCCACTGTCCTGAATTTTGTATTCACTGTTCCTTTGCCTTTCATTTTAGTTTTGCAATGTCTGTATGTATTTCTAAACAATGTATTGTATAGTTTTGCCTGGTTTTCATCTTATACAAATGCAAACATACCACATGTATTCTTAATTAGCTATTTTCTGCTCAATAGTTAAGTATATGTGATAACTCCTTGCTGATTTGTATAAGTATAGTACATTTATTTTCACTGCTATGTGCTATTCCACTATATGAATTTGCAACAATTTATTTTACCATTTAACTGTTGATGGGTATTTAGTTTGGTGCCAGTTTTGTTTTTGTTTTTCCTTAAACAACTTTTTAACTTGCCAAGATATGGCATAGAGTAGAGTAAATCTGGAGTCAGGTTGATTGCATTAAAATCCCTGCTCCACCACTTTCTATGATCTTGGACTAGTGAGTGACTCAGCTTTCACATCTATTACATAATAACAGAGTGGTACCTGGAATGAAGCTGCTGCTGGATAGTTGTTGAATAAAGAATGGTTCTCTCACCTCTACACATATACTATAATCCACTAAAATGAATTACTGTCAAGTTTGTAAACATTCATTTCTCTTTCCTAGGACCACAGTTATCCTTGGCTCCTTTTTTTCCCCTTAGAATTGCTTCTCCTCATATTTCCACTGTCAAAAAATCCTTCATGGCTTAATGGTCATGTTTCCTTCTTTTTTTTAATATTTATGTCAGGGGAGAGGGGCAGAGAGAGAGAGAGTTCCAAGAAGGCTTCATACTGTCAGCACAGAGCCCCACATGGGACTCAGTCCCACAAACCATGAGATCATGACTTGAGCTGAAACCAAAAGTCAGATGTTTAACCGGCTACATCACCCAGGTACCCCTGTAATGTTATCTTTTCAATAAATCCTTCTCTTATCACCTCCAGCAGAAATGATCCTATTTTTTAATTCTTATGACAATTTGGTTGTGTTCCTCTATGACTCTTCTAATATATTGCCTTGTGTGATAGTTATTTAAATACTTTATCACCCCTTATATAGATGACAAACTTATTTCAAGGCAGTGGCCAACCTTACCCATTTTGGCTTACTTTCTGCACCTAGCCTGATGCCTTGCTTATAGTACTCACTTAATAAATATCAATAATTTGAAGGGTACTTGGGTGGCTCAGTTGGTTGAGCATCTGACTTCAGCTCAGGTGATGATCTCATGGTTTATGAGTTTGAGCCCCACATCGGGCTTTGTGCTGACAGCTTGGGGCCTAGAGCCTGCTTCCAATTCTGTGTCTCCCTCTCTCTCTGCCCCTCCCTTGTTTGTGCATGCGCAAATAATAAATAAACAAACATGTGCATGTTTTTAATAATTTGAAACTCAATCAAACAGGTAATTGTTGTAAATATCTGTTGCTGTGTAATAAACAACTCCAAAAATTTAGTGACTTAAGACTATAGCCATTTATTTACACATGATTCTGTGTAAATAGAAATTAAATGAGAAATTTGGGCTGACTTTAGCAGGCAGCTCTTCTATTGGCCTTGCCTACGGTCATTCATGTGGATGTTAGTCATCTGATGGCTTGATTGGGCTTCGGTGGCCAAGCTATCCTCACTCACATGTCCAGATGGTGGTGGTAGCTGTTCGCTGGGGCATGTGTCTGATATTCCAGACTTCTTTACATAGCATCTGGCTTTCAAGAGAGCAAGAGTGGAGGGGTGCCTGGGTGGCTCAGTCGGTTAAAGTGTCCAACTTCAGCTCAGATTATGATCTCACGGCTTGTGGGTTCATGTCCTGTGTCAGGCTCTATGTTGACAGTTCAGGGACTAGAGCCTGCTTTGGGGTCTGTGTCTCCCTCACTGTCCACTAGTGCTCTGTCTCTCTGACTCTGAAAAATAAACATTAAAAAAATAATTTTAAAAAAGAGAGAGAGAGCATGAGTGGAATTGCAAGTTCTCTTAAAGCCTAAACCTCACAGCTGCACATGGTCATTTCTTTTTTTTATGTTTGTTTATTGTTATTGCTTTTTAATGTTCATTTATTTTTTTGAGAGAGAGACAGACTGTGAGCAGGGGAGGAGCAGAGAGAGGGGGAGACACAGAATCTCAAGCAGGCTCCAGAGTCTGAGCTGTCATCACAGAGCCTGACGCGGGGCTCGAACTCACCAACTGTGAGATCATGACGTGAGTTGAAGTCAGGCACTTAACCAAGTGAGCCACCCAGGCGCCCCTGCATACTGTCATTTCTGCTGTCATCAAAGCAAATTGCAAGGTCAACTCCAAGGCAAGATATGGGAAAATAAATTCTACACTTGATGGAGGAGTGACAAATTCACACTGCAAAGGGGGAACTTCTGTATGGAATTATTGTGGCCATCTTTGCAAATAACCATAGTGATGATGTGTACAATTTCCTTTTTTTATTATTTTTAATTTTTTTAAATGTTTTATTCATTTCTGAGAGAGAGACAGTGTGAACAGGGAAGGGTCAGAGAGAGAGGGAGACACAGACTCCGAACAGGCTCCAGGCTCTGAGCTAGCTGTCAGCACAGAGCCTGACATGGGGCTCGAACCCACAAACCATGAGATCATGACCTGAGCTGAAGTCGGATGCTTAACCGACTGAGCCACCCAGGCGCCCCTGTAGAATTTCCTTTTATCTCAAGTTAAATCATAGATGAGTTACTCATCTCCGAAAACATTTCCCAACCATTTTTGCTGAATCACAAAAACCTTCTTACTTTTAATCGTGAGGTAAATTAACACACTTATTTTAAGGAGACAGAAACAATGATGATGATGACTAGTACTAGTGCTAATAGTTATTGACTCCATATCCTGAGCTAAGCAGGTTAATTTATACTGTCTCATTCAACCATCACTATTTGAGTTAAGCATTATTGTCTGTCTTTAAAAATAAGGAACTTGAAGCTCTAACAGTCCGTTACTTGCCCAAACGTCACATATTAATGATACATACTACTCAGGGAGTTAAGATAAAAGTCTAGGCTTCCAAAAAAATGTTTTTCTATAGTTTATATGTTATTAATTATGAAATAAATATATATTCAGCCTCTAGAGCAGGAGTGATCTTTTTCTTTTCTTTCTTTCTTTTTTTTTAATCCTTGGCGTCCAGGTGTTGCGTCTCTGGCCTCTGGCCTCCTGCTTGCTAGGTCTCTGCTGTTCACTTGTGCTTAATATCGACTGTGTCAA